TGAACGCAATCCTCAGGCCATAGGAAAACAGAAATCAACTTGAGTGTATTAATAAATGGCAGAGCAGGAACAAGAAGTCATGGTAATAAAGCAACAAAAACGCAAGGGTTTACTGAATGTGAGACAATATGAGAAAAAAAAAACTATTAAGGAGAGAGAAAAATGGATTTAAGAAGACAGATAGCAACAATAAAACACTGCATTTAAATTTTTGAAGATCAACGTGACTGAGAAGAAAGAAGACAGAAGAAAGAAGAAATTGTTAGCATAGAACTTACTGTTGCTTCTAAAACGATGAGACCCTGCCGCTAATCTAATATTATGATTAAATTCATAAAGTCTAGGTACCATATCCATATAATAATTCTGTCTTAGACGTATATAATCCTATCCTATACAAGTCGCAAGAGCCACTCACGGCAGAGCGTAACTGAAGTTGTATGAGCGGTAACAGTAGGAGGTAAAGATATAAGGATATTTGTTTCAATCATCTCACCCCAGTCACGGCAATAAAGCCACTAAAATGCTATTGAGTAGGGTTACTGAGTATTAGAGAATATGAGAAAAAGATAATTAAGGAGAGAGAACAATAAAAGTACAGAAATTAAGGAGTCAGAAGATTGCATTTAAATCTTTGAAGATCTAAGTTGCCTGGAAAGCAATAAAACGGAACAGATTTTCATAAAAGAGGGGGGGGCGACATGAAACTCTTAGCATAGAACTTGCAGTTGCTTTTAGCCATTGCAACAGTAAGTTAACAAAACCTTGCCACTAATCTAATGGTACGCTTAAATTTATAAAATTTTACGTACCATAGAAGAAAATTCAGAAAAATTATCCTGAAAGTATTTATAGAAACGGCTCAGCGAAGCTTCTTTATAGCAGTGTAAAAGTGAGTGAAGCAGAGATGCCATGTCAGAATCAATAACGTTGCAGATTCTTCAACGTATTTTATCAAGAATATATAGCAGAAGCGCCGGACCATATGTGGCAGCAATATTCAATGCATGGATGAATTATAAATATGTAAGATATATTCTGTCGAGAAAAAAATATGACAAAATGAACGAAATTTCCTAACAGCAGACGTAGCAATTTATTTAATATAATCTTTCCATTTTATGTTAGCGAAAAACGTTAGCCTTGTTTTTTTTTTCTTTTAAATTTATTATCTATTCAATTTTTTTTTAAATATCAGCATTAGTATATTTGAATTTTGCTTTTCTTTCTGAAAAAATGTAGCTTATTTATTATGTACAAATATTTTTGTAGGGTTTATTTTAATCTTCGCACACACAAACAAATATATGATTATAGCAACTCAAAGGTGACAATGAAAGTAAAAATAAATTGCTGTTACGGATTGATATTATGTTATTAGTGTATAATGTTGAGAAGGAATAGATATTACAAGTCAGTAATTGTATCTGTGCGTTTTGGATTGGTAGGAAATTAATATAGATTTATCAACAAAAAAAATGAATAAAAAAATGGATACACTTTCAGAATATTTGGAAAGAAGACACAAAATTACCCATCAACCAGTCAGGAGATATATCCCCAATAATAATAGAATATTTTTAGTTTCCACGCCAAGAAGGCAGTCAATATAGATAATGAAGATGCATAGAGGATAAGTGAAAGCAAAAGAAAGCAAATTAAGCTAAAATAACATTTATTTTAGGAAAAACATTAGAAAAAATAAAGAAAAAATTTGAAAACATTGACATTTATCTTTTCTTTTCAGCCTATGTTTAACTGGAGTTATAGCCAGGTCGAAAGTCTTCTAAAACATTTCTTCCTGGTTAATAACAGTCAAGTTTCAAAATATTTTATCATTTTTACTTTTTATTAAGGCCTTTGCTTTTGGCTGATTCCATTTGTTTACAGGTTCGAATTCAAATTGTTTACCCAATTCCTTTATGCCATGATAGTTTTTCTAGTAATTTTATGGCAAATTTTCAATAACTGAAAATGAGGTTTATACGTTCAGACACTACAATTTCTTCTTTTATATACCATATCGTTTCAAGATATATGGTTCTCCACATATTTCTGTTTTCTTTTTATTTTTGCTCTATATAATTTTACCTTTTTAACCTCTGCAATAACTCGTTTCTATCGACACGAGGCCGAGTGGTTAGATCGTTTCTTTTCTGACCATGAGACCCTGGTTCGAATCTTACCAGAATTCATCAGGAAGAAGATGTTGTCGGCCTGCAGCACCTTTGGAAAGAACCATACCACGGGAGTGTAATTGGGCACCTTAGGGGACGTCGATAGCTGTGCTAGCACCAAGTTACAAGTCATCGTGACCGAGTGTTTGAGTGTGCTGTCTTTGATTAGATAGTTGATCACGCTCGATAACACACTCTTTTCCCTAAGGTCTGCTTAGCATAAATAGAAGTGTTGGAGATGTTGAACAAACACAAATATGCCTGGAAAAGCGTCCTCAATAGTAGAAGGGTATCATCGAATATGAGTGGCCAGCTATAGAAATCTCGCTTCTAGCAGTTATAATATTATGTCTCACTTAGGCTACTCACCATGACGAAATTCTCCGCAACTGACTCTAATGGACTTCCTTGACTCTTGAGTTCTTTGTTTAAAGTCTCTTTCCTAGTTCATTTTTGTTATTGGGAGTGTCTTATTTACTTCACTTCACCATCGTTCTTTATTTTAGTTCTGCTATCATTTAAACACTTTGCTATGTCATCTGAGTGTTAGATTCTCCATATTGTCTTTCCTCGTTGTATCTCCTAGAATTTTCTCTTTTTGATTGTATTACGTGCAATCAGAAAGAGAAAATTCTATTTTGCTTGTAGTTCTTAGTTACTTAAAACATCTTCATGGCTCACATGTTCTTTTCCATCGTCTTCTTAGTATTCGCCAGTAATGCGCGTTTCTGTTGTTTCATGTTTCTTCTTTATTGGGGAAGAGATTGTCCAGCATTCACTCTCATATAGAAGACTAGCAGCATGGCCCGGTGTTGCACGTGCTTGATTCAAAAATCGTACAACTCATACAGCAATCGCTATCACTTGACTTTAAAATATTTTTGCCCTTCCTTGCCTTTAAATGAGTGCCCTTTGCCGTGCTGATGTTACTACATGCCTTACTTCTTGCCTATCTCACACTGCGAATTTTTTCTTAGATCTATACTAAACATTAAATCTGTTACGAAAAAAGAACTAAACAAAATGAACACAAAACAATCAACTTTAAAAAAGGACTCGTAACTGGAAAAACCGAATGAAAAAAATGTTAACAACAAATACTTTTTCACACCCAACACAGTTCTGCGGAATCAGAATCAACGTTGAGTTTAAGCAAGCGAACGAGCCAATTGGAGTAAAGTGACATGTAGATTTAAATTTTTCCCACTTGTGACGAATGCAGTTAACATTCGTGTCAGTCAGATGTTGGCTCTCACGCTGGCCAATAGAATCTTCCTGCCTATTCGTGGCAGCCAGCTATTGGCTCTCACTCTGGCCAGTAGAAAATGGCCGCAAACTACATGAAAACTGCCGTGGAAGCATGAAAAAATCGATTATTTCATCTATCGATGGGAGTTGGGAAATGCAGAGTCGGTCTTAGCTTTCCCGCTAACTTGGAGCATGTGCATGTACATTTTTGTGCAAATCCGTTGAAAATTGCGGCCGTGCATTCGTCACACACACACACACACACACACACACACACACACACACACACACACACACACACACACACACACACATCCTGCCTTTTATAGATAGAGATTTAATGTTCCACTATTATTTTTTTTTCATATATTCGTTATTATTATTATTATTATTATTCATTGTAACCACCAGGATCGTTATTGTTGGCAGATGACAACATGTTTACTCAAAACATCACAGCTTTCTTTCTTTTTATTTTCTAGAATTATCGCTGTCTTAATCGTTGGTTCTCTAATTCGCATAATTACACCTGTAGATGTTTGCCTTCATCATAAGTGCACAGGTAATTATGTGCATGGCTTTTACCTGCTCATTTCACATTTTATTTTGTCCCTTGTCAAATCCTTGATATTTTCTAATATTTCTGTTTCTTTTCTCTTCACACTGTAGTTTGTAGTTGCATCTCAGTTAACGATCTGGTAAGACAATATTTCCTTGTTCATAATAAACCAATTCGGTTATCTCCCTTGAATTTGTTGGTGTGAACTTCAGTCTCAGAATATCTATTTTTATTTTGTCACACATTTGCTTTTTTTCTTGACAGTTTTTATAATTCTTTTAAACTAAGTTCTAATAGTACCTGAAGATATGATCACAGATACTACCACAACTACTACTATTAGTAGTACGGCTACAACTAATATTACTCCTGCTAAACGTAATTCTGCTACTACTACTACTACTAATAATAATAATGGCATAAATTTTCTCACATTATTGATTTTAGACATCATTGATTGATTTCTTTTTTACGACTTATCAACCTTTTGCAGATTATTTCAATTTTTAGATGGTAAGAATTTTGGGGGAGATAATAATGATACAATTTCTACTAATTAACCCATAGCTGGTGAGTTATTCCTGCAGATATAACACTTCATTTTAGAACCAAACATGCCATTGTACACATCTAACGATAAATTTAATTGAAACAAAAATGATAAGGAAACTAAGAGTCATGTAACATGGACAATAATTTATTTTAGAACATTAGAGAATGCATTGAATATTGATTGGTTGTTTTTGTTTAGCGGCATACCGACACCTCTATGGGTTGTTTAATGCCGAAATCTAAATATTTTGGATGTAATTTGATTTTTTCGGGGGGGCGGAGCGTTAATAATCGTTTTAGTGATACAAGTTTTAATAATTAGCAGGTGTGAGACAAGGTATATTCATACCTTTTCCAAGGGTATTTTTTACGTAAGTAAATATAACGAAATCAATTGGAACTGGAATTCAGCTCTCCGATTTTAAATCAGATCCGTTATCTATTACACAACCCCCATATCCAAGCTTGCAGCACCTGATACTCCCAAGCAGTCACCCATCTAGGTACTGACCAGGCTCGACATTGCTTAACTTCGGTGATCGTACGAGAACTGGTGTTTCAACGTGATATGGCGATTTGGGACTTCAGCCAGATCACATATTAAAATTGACAGAAAGTGAAAAGTAAAATATCTAAACCTAGAAGAAAAGCGAACAAGTGAAGAATAAAGAAAAGACGGTAGTGTCCATCGTTGTCAAAGCACTTGGACATCTTTTGCGTTACAGCTCAGAATTCAGGTCCGTTGACAGGATGCAGTTTCTTCTACTCGTGGCTTACCCTTCACACGAGTGAAAAAACCAAAAACAATTTCTAGCAGTAAACCAGATTACATACTTGTATTTTAACCTACTACCATAAGCTAAGGAAGTAGATATGAGGTGTAAATGAGGGGGAAGTGCACAGCTCAGTGGCCGTTTTTGTCCATTCTGTGAGGCCCACTTCTTCTATGTGCCTTTCCTCGGGATCATCAGTTTTATAGATAACAATTTTCTCTGTCTTGTCATTTTCGTCCAAAAAGATAATTTATCTTCCTTCCGTGATTTTCACTTTGTCTGAGATTCTTGCTCTGTACTTTGAAGTTGACTCCATCGGTCGAAAGTAAATGTTCCGTATCCACTTTTGTGACAGTTCCGGCTGTTTTCAATTTAACATGACCTCCACTGACTCATATTGCTACACATCAAAGAGCCTAGGAAAAACGTTAGAGAAGTAAGATAATCCATGGAAGAGTCGAGGAAAATGAGTCGACGGTATTAGTGAAAACCGCGATAATATTTTCGTGAGAGCTGGAGTATTTGCTGTTACCACATGATGAAATATTGAAAACAGGGCTTGAGTGTCAGTGTAAGCCATAAAATACTACTGATATCAATATTATATCAATGAAGATTTCTCTACACAAGATGTTTAAGGTAACCATTTCAGAGAATAAATTACATTTGAAAAGAACATTTCAAAATTATTTACACTATTTACATTATTTGGACTGTTGTCCTCATCTTTATTATCGTGTTCACGACGTTTCGGTCATTGTGCACTCCGGTCTTCTTCAGGTGATGTATATTGGACACATGACCCAGGGGATAAAAGCATTGGTTAAAGTAATCCAGTGACTTCACCCAAAGAGTTGTGAACACAGCAGAGGTGAACAAAACTTGGAGAGTTGAGTTACTAAAGGGAGATAACTGAAGCTGAAATGTCCAGAAAGACCATGGCACATGGAACGAGAACAAACTATCCCAGTGAACTAAGGTCACGGTTCGAAATTCCAATGTATATCGCCTGAATGAAGTAAAACCGTCGAAACGTGAACATGACAATGAAAATGAAGACAACAGTCCGAACAATGAGAATAGTCTATATAGTTACAATACCTCATCTCAGAAATGTAGACAGATATTTCAAAATCAGTTACAGGAAAATTGTTGATATTTATATATATATATATATATATATATATATATATATATATATATATATATATATATATATATATATATATATTCGTTCATTCTCGTTCATCTTAGCCAAAGTGACATGTCATTGATGAGATAGAACAAGGGGATTAATATATTTCCTAAAGAGGATGTACGGTCCATGTAATGGATATCGACTTGGAAACTGAAATATGTGAGCCGAGTTCTAATTCGAGTTGAGACGTGCGTTCATTTTCGCCAAAAACTAACACTTCGTGAAGGTCTGATCCGTCACTTCTCCCCACCAGTTAACGTGTTAAATAGTAAGGTAGACTAGCTTCGCTAATCTTGATGGCAACCAGTCTAAGAGAAGGAGGAACTCTGAATTCCAAACCGTGGAAAATAAAGTGTTTCTCTATATTACTTTATAGATAATAAAGGATGTCTTGAAGAGTCATGATCACCTACGTCTTGTGGGTGGGGGGTGTATGTCATTAGAAAATTACCAAAGATATTAAGACAAAATGAACGAAAACAGCCTCGAGTAAAATTCGATCTCAGTTCGTCAATTCATTTAGCGATAACTGTTCTTATATTACCTGGAGTCGAACAATCTTCATTTTCCAGTCTTGACATAGTTCAAACTCGTTTACGTAGGGTAACTTATTTCAGCTTTGCAGCTCTTTTCCCACATACGAAAAGTTGCAAGCCTATCGCTACTTCCTTGGCAAATGTTTAGACGACAGGCTCCATTTTTTAGCCCCATCAAGACATTTGCAGCCAAGACCCGTCTCTTTATGTCTATAGGGTTGAATCATTGTAATTCCCTCTGTATTGGTAAGAAAGAAATTACATCCGGACAGTTTCTTTCCCAAAATGGCTACATTGTGGCCGAGGATGCTGCCTCATAGAGTAGAATCTTAACATCGCTAATCTAGGATCAGTTTTTATCTATCCTCCCTAGCTTCATAATCATAACTTCTTACTTCCTCCTCTTCCGTTAATATCACACATCTTTTTAGTAACCATCTGTCTGTACCAAGTGGCTCTTGGGCGAACAATATTATAAGAAATACCAAACAACAATATCTATATTCTTGAAAAGTATTCGAATACATCGTTAGAAGCATTATTTCTTTTCAGTTTTAGTTTTGCTGGATGTCTGTCGACGTTTAAACCTACAGAAAGACCAATTCAAATTCACCTCACAGAGATACCTAGACATGATAATTTCACAAGACGATAAACAATATATAAATAGATGACTAAACATTCAAATAGCTGAACTGCAAATATATACACATCTGGTAAGACAGACGTAAGTGGGTAAGTTAGGTGAGAGGAAAGAAGTTTAAAATGAACAAAAAGTCGGGAACGAATTGGTGTATATTGGTCAAAATGGCGGCGTAAAATGGCTTGTTTGCAACATATTGATAGTGAAAGGTAAAGTGGTTTTACTTTATACGAAAACAAACCTAAATTAGATTTGCTTCTTCCCAATTACATTAATAAAGTTATTTTTTCTCACTCGCTGGAATGTGTTTGTTATTCGGGATGTTTATTCTCGATATGTGTGAGGAGACTGATGGATAATATTTTCTTCCTGCTTGTGTGTTTGTATAATCCTGGGGGGAGTCCATCTACGAGTGTGAAATAGGGGTGTTAGACTTTGGTTAGTGTAAATTGATCACAACCTGCAATCATATAAAGGGGTGAATTTACTTCATTTGTTGGTTTTATATCAGCTTCAAGCGTATTCGTAAAATTGTATTCATAATGAAGTGTGCCAATATAATGAAATAACGCAGATTTTATGAAAAGAATTTTGTCTCTGTCCGTCTGTCTATGATTAAATAAAAAAAAATGATAAATGTTTCAATCCGTTCATATCTCTGTATTTATTTCGTATGTTTATTGTAGTGTACCCGAATCTATCTATTTCTTTTTCTTACACTTTCCATATCTATCTATCTATCTATCTATCTATCTATCTATCTATCTATCACACACTTACTCTACATTTCCAATTTATATATTGTGTACTTATCGGTAGATAAAAAAATTAATTTTGCGGAGATATGTATCAAACCTCATATAACATTTATTTCTGTATGGTTTTACCACTCATTGGATCTAGCACTGCATTTCTATGAACTTTCTTTATCACTTTAAAGAAGGCTATTGACCACATAAAAACCATTGCAAAATAAATAAAAATATGATATTTGATCAGATTATGATATATAGTCATTTGGACAGATTATGGGAAATTATAAGATATTTGGCCATTGGTCAAATTGTGGGAAGTGATATATTTTTCATTTGGTCAGATCATGCGAAGTGATATGATATTTGTAGATTTACGAGAAATCATAAGATATTTGTTCATTTGGTTAGATTTTGGGAAGTGATATGACATTGTCATTTGGTCTAATTCTTAGGAGTGATAAGATATTTGGTCATTTGTTCAGATTATGGGAAGTGATGATATTTGATCATTTGATCAGATTTTGCAAGTGATATGATATTGCCATTTGGTCAGATTATGGAAAGTGATATGATATTTGTTCATTTGGTTACATTATGGGAAGTGATATCTATTTGTTTACTTAGTCAGATTATGGAAAGTGATATGATATTTGCTCATCTGGTTAGATTATGGAAAGTGATATGATATTTGGCCATTGGGTCAGACTTTGAGAAGTGATATTGTATTTCGTCATTTGTTCAGATTTTAGGAAGTGATATAGATTTGTTCATTTAGTCTGTTTATGGAAATTGATATGATAGATGGCCATTTGATCAGATTATGGGAAATAATATCGTATTTGATCATCTAGTCAGACTTTGAGAAGTGATATGATATTTGCTCATATGGTGTTATGATACTGGCCATTTGATCAGATTATGGGAAGTGATGATTATATAAAGTCATATGGTCAGATTTGCGGGAGTGATATGATATTTGGTTATATTTTGAGAAGTGATATGATATTTGGTCATTTGACCAGATTTGGGAAAGTGATACGATATTGATCATCTGGTTAGATTATGTGAAGTGTTATTGTATTGGGTATTTGATCAAGTTATGCGGAGTGATATGATATTTGGTCATTTTGCCAGCTTTTGGTAAGTGATATAATATTGGGCATTTAGTCAAATTATGTAGAATGATATGATATTAGGTCATTTAGTCAGATTACTGAAAGTGATATGATATTTGTTCATCTGGTCAGACTTTGAGAAGTGATATGATATTGGTCATTTGATCAGATTATGGGAAGTGATATGATATTTGATCATTTGGTTAGATTTTGCGTCGATAATGATATTTGGTCATTTGGTCATATTAAGATAAGTGATATGATATTTTGTCATTTGATTGGATTTTTGAGATGTGATATGATATTGGTCATTTGCGTAGACTATGGAGAGTGATATGATATTTGCTCATTTGATTAGATTATGGGAAGTGTTATATTGCTCATTTGATCAACTTTTGGGAAGTTGGTCAGATTATAGAAAGTGATATGAAATTTGGTCATCTGGTCAAAGTTTGGGAAGTGATACGATATTTGGTCAGATTTTTGGGAAGTGTTATAGTATTGGTCATTTGATCAGATTATTGGAAGTGGTAATGATATTTGATCAGACTT